CAGATATGTCTATATAAAAAAAAAACCACAATTAAAAATATATGTACTTCCATTACCAAAGGTTTGTTGGAACCAAAAACTAACCTTTAAAGAAACTTATAGAGTATGAGTTATGGGATGGGTTCAGGTAAGTTTGAAGCCATTTAAACATGTTAGCATTAAACTCAGTTGGTAGGATGACAGCTGCTGTCATAGCAAGTTTGCTTAATTGAAAAGATTTAACATCAGGATCATATCAAAGCAGCAGTATGTAACTCAGACAGAATACGTTACAATAAGAGCTGCAAAGAATTTGCTGAATGAAAAATCAATCAATTGAGAATTTTCACATAAATTAGGAACTTGTCAGTGATTAGAGACTAAGAGTGAAAAGGAAACTAACCCTTGTACAACGAAAAACTTAAAATCACAAACCTTTGGATGAAGGGAGCTTTTGATTAGAAACTTCTCTCCTGCACCCTAAATCTACAGCTTTGTTAACTATGGGAACATGCTATGATGCTCAGCAGGTTCTGAAAAGTCAGCATTAGCCTTCCCAACAACCTTCATCTGCACAAAAGGATAAGCAGCAAGCTAATTAGTTCTTATTATTTTCCCAAGTGCAAACTGTACCTAATGCAAATTATACAGGTGAAAAACTGTATAGCATGCCAGCTATGCTCACCTTTCAATAAAAAAAATATACTATGTTTCAAAGTAATATACACTTTACGGTATCTCCATTGTGAGCTTAACAAGGGATGTGCAGAAAATGAACATCAGTCTGAATGTATATTCTCATTATCTCATTTGTAGAAAGTAGAAACCTTTTGGAAGCAGCTATATAAAGAATCCTGAATGTATATTCTCATTATCTCATTTGTAGAAAGTAGAAACCTTTTGGAAGCAGCTATATAAAGAATCCTATAATGGGGAAATTGAGGAGGCTTTTAGAGAAAGTAGAAACCTTTTGGAAGCAGCTATATAAAGAATCCTATAATGGGGAAATTGAGGAGGCTTTTAATCCAATTTTGTTACATGTTATAGCAAGCATTACTGCACTTGAACACGCTAGCAGAAGTTACCGGAAGACCCACTGCCTAGCGAATTGCTTAGGAGCCTATGCGTTTCTGCTTTTTTTAATATCTAATAAACGCAAAAGATCATTTCAGGATAATTATGGAAACTTCAGAATGTAGTGACGAAGAAGCAACAGAAAACACAACAGTACTAGAGAAGAACCATTTAGGAGTCTAGGAGACACAAAAGCAACACAAACATCAAAAGAAAGGAAGAAGAGAGCAGGGGACTGGTGATGAAAGAATAAACAGAGATAAAAAGAAGTTAGGAAAAAAATTGCAAAAATAAAGAGAATGATAATCATACATCATGTAATCGGTCTGCCCTCCTCGGTATTGGTGAATCACATTTGGGTCCATTTTACCCAGTTGCTAGGCATCCAAACAACCAAATGTTTCCAGCAACAGGGGACAGTGGTATCATGTGCTTAGCACATGATCTAAATTTAACAAAGAATCTAACGAAATCTGAACCAGGGCATCAAAGTGAAATGGGATTGAAACTTTGGGGTATCAAGTATTATGTAAAAACTTTTGGGCATCACAGTGAAAAAAAGGCAAACTTTGAGGTATCAAATTGAAAAATAAGCCCAATAAAATCAAAGGAACCATACTAGCATGTAAAAACATCATTCCAGAACAGAAACGCAGGTCAATGTTAATGGATGAACTCCATGGGTGTATGTAAAAGTCATATGCTTGATTTTCTACCAAGTCTTTAACAGGCAATCTAGATTATTAATAAGGACAATAGTCTCAGAATATCCAAGAGTGCTAAGTTACCCAACACCTTGTCTTGGCTCCTGTATCCATGTCCGACACGTGTCCGACCCTGACACTCCTTGAGTATGCATACATTTATTCAACATGTACTCAATTAGACTTTAGTTTAAAACAGTAGTCTCAGAATATGCATGATTTCTACCAGTCTTTAGCAGACAATCTAGCGTACTAATTAGGACAGTAGTCTCAGAATAACCACGCGGGCGAGTATCTAAGTTACCCAACAGCTCGTCTTGTACTAATTAGGACAGTAGTCTCAGAATAACCACGCGGGCGAGTATCTAAGTTACCCAACAGCTCGTCTTGGCTCCCATAGCTGTGTCCGACATGTGTCCAACTCCAACACTCCTTGGACACTCCTTGAATATGCATACATTTATTCAAACATGTACTCAATTATATAACAAATGTTTTAGACTTTAGTTTAAAACACTAGTCATATACTTCTTGGACGTGTATCTTACCCTTCATATCCACTTCCTGCAACTCGTAGGACGTGAGCTGGGTTTACTTCAACATTTACCCAGTTCAGAAGTATGATTTAAAGGGTCGTTTAGGTATCTAGTTCGAACAAGTGGTTTTCAGAAATACAATATACTTGATGAATGAAACATACAAAATATGAATTTTACATAACAATGTAAATGAAAAAGCAAAATCGGTCTCATGTAAATTATCAGTTTCAATATGTATGTCTGTAGTCGTGTCCTAATATCCTATCTTTTACAAATTTGACGGTCCCGTATGGCCGTATCCATACCCATATCGCATTCGCACCTATGTAACATAGGGAAGAATGCATCCATATAGGTATTCTTACTTAGGAGCTCATTGGTGAACAATGCTTACTAAGCAGGACATTATATCCAATGTAGAACAAAGCAAAAATTACTTTGAACAAGGATTGCACAAATTAAATACTAGAATCATAAAAGTCACATTCAAATCTTAATATTATGCATCCCTCAGCAGATTTAACCAGATACGAAAACAATTGTTGGTGCCAAGAACAGTGAACACAAAGATCACAAAACAAAGAACTACAACCACATGACAGGAAACTATAACTGTAAGTTTGGAGCTTCATTTTGCCAAAGAAAAACTAAAAGGTAACCCAGTTATCAAAAGAATCAGCAATGCGTGAGATTGCTAACCTCAGATAAATGTACTACAAAAGTAGTTTACGTTCATTTGTTCTCTTGAAAAGAATTCAACATACCTCTTCACGAACAGGGGTCAATTGAGAACGTGTAATGTAAGTCCTCAACAAGTTCGACGAAGTAATGTCTTCAGCTTCTGTACCAGATTCACTTGCGGATGAATCACTACCATTTATCTGGTCCAACAAGAGAATGAATTGGATTCCCTATAAAGACTGCAAAAACTTCAAACAACATAGTAGGTGGAAACAGAACAAGTTATTACTGCTGGATGCAGAGGCTTAGCATAAGCGATTATCTTTCCCTTGCCATTAGAAATAGTAACTATTTGCCTGCCATATTGTGCTTCACCACTAAGGACCATCTAAGAACCAATAGAAGTCATCAAAAGTGTGAATTACAAGAGTTGTAATAGTGATAAATATAACAATACAATATACAGAACTGATAAATAAAATAAGATGATAGCCAGACACCTTCAATATGCTAGGATCCTTCCAGGGCCCCTTTTCAGACTTGAGACATCCACCGCCGTCAGCACAGGTACAAGTACCACCAAGAAATTCAGGCAACTCGCTGTGAAACCAAGGAAAACAAAGAAAACACAGAAGTTAGGACAAAGTTTTATTTACAAAATCTCTAAGACATGAATGAGTTCAGAAACAAACTTGACCTAGAATCAATTATTTCAAACAGCTTGCTCTGGTACTTGTTCCCAAGAACCTGCGAGAATTTATGCCAATAAACCAGCAATTTCAGTAAAATAGAGATACAAAATTGGGCAGAAAAGAAAGGTTGAATTAGTAAAAAATCATATTTACATGTATTTTTGAAGTAGTTTTTGGATCAAGAAACGATTTGATCAAGTTCCATAGACATCTAAAACCAGGGCCAGCATTGATGATAAACATCCAGTGTAAAGTCTGCAAATATATTGCTTAAATTATTACAGCAGAATCCTTGGACTCATAAAATAATAGCCTAGAAAGTACAAATACCCCTGCATACCTCTGGATAATTGTCCCCATCAATTTTCTGTAACCTTGTAATTAGTTCTCGTGCTGTCTTGCTGAAGTTTTTCATTCCCTATCAAAAGAATCAAACATCATTAAAAAAAAGTAGCGGACGCATATATTATCATCTACATCACGATGACAGCTTTTGCAAAAAAAGAAAAAAGAAAAAAAAGGAATCATGCCTGAATAAAAGTAAAAAACCAACATACCACGCCTTGAACATCCAGAATAGCCGTGCTTGAATTGATGTGTTTGTTTGCAGTGATTGAGCAAGCTGGGAATTTAATCGAAAAGCTCCGTTCAAACTCCTTCACATGATATCTTACATACC